TCCTCCCACAAGATTTAAATTAGGCCCTATGTTCCTACATTTCTAGGACATTTTCAAAATTAGGTCTTGTGTTTCTACATTTCCCTTCAATTTAAGTCCTATCCTCCCACAAGATTTTTTGGAAGCACTTTATAGTAAATGAATGAATGAGTAATTTTATTTCGATCAGCAGCAGCAGAAATCGTCACAATCACAAACGTTTCAAGAAAAAATAAAATAGGCTGATCGAAAAGGGTTTCGGCTGAAGCAGAGCTCATAGATAGCGAACCCTTGTTTTCATTTCCTTAAGTCAGACAAACAAAACCAGATAAGTACAAATACGCATACGGTATATACATGTAATACAATCACATGCTACATATATGCATATACATACCTACATACACACACATACATACATACATACATACACACACATGCATATGTACCTGAATACATACATTATGTATGTACATATTTATGTAAATCTGATATAAATTTAAGAAAAAGGAAATGTGGGAACATAGAGCTGTGGGAGCATAGAGCTGTGGGAACATAGAGCTGTGGGAACATAGGCACGCTCCCAGCTCCACCTGGAGCCACTACAACAGTAACATTTCATTATTTTATTTTTTGTTTGTTAACAGGGCGAATTGCGGTATGCAAAACATGCGGGTCAAAAGTTACAGACAAAGATGCAACAACTCCTAACTTCGTTCGACATTTCTAGCTGCACAAAGATCAGTAAGTGGAGGCTAACATTAACATAGCAAGCTAATGCTCATGTAACGTTAGCTTAACAGCTAAGGAACTTTTTAATAAACCTGCTTTAAGAAGTACATTTTTAAAAGCCTTCATGAGTTTTGTAAATTTAATATTGGCAACGTGTTTGTTGAAGAGGACTTGGGAGTTGACGTGGTCCCACCTCTGCATCCTTGACTCAAAGTGGACGTTTGTGTCAAATTTCAAATAATTCCCTCGAGGCGGTCTTGAGATATCGCATTCACAAGAATGGGACAGACGTGGTCACAGTGACCTTGACCTTTGACCACCAAAATCTGATCAATTCATTGATGAGTCCAAAATGACATTTGTGCCAAGTCTGAAGAAATTCCCCAATTCTGAGATATCGAATTCACAAGAATGAGACGGACGAATAACCCAAAAAATCACTGGTGCAAAGACATATTCCCGCTCCCATGAACATAACCCCTATGGAGAAGGCGACAGAGCCTTCTCCATAGCCGCCCCCTCCCTCTGGAACACCCTCCCTATACACATCCGTGACTGTCCAAATCCATCCACCTTCAAATCACTCCTCAAAACCCACCTTTTCAAATCCGCTTTTAACCTTTAACATTAGCTTTTTGTTCTCTGTTTCTCATGCACCCTCCTTCTCTTTGTTTTGCACTATGCTTTTGCACCTTGTTGTTGTATATCGTCCTTGTCTTCTGTTTATCTCTTTGCACTTATATGTATACTTCTTTTCTTTGGTTTTAAATGTAAAGCATCTTTGAGAGCTGTAAAAGCGCTGTCTGAATAAAATGTATTATTATTATTATTACATAAAAAAGACGCAGCAAGCTGCAGAAAGCGCTCCGTCTGATCAGGGCAGGATTCAACCAAAAAGGCAGTGCGGTGCACCTTGTGTTTTACAACCTGCAAAACACTGACTCTCTGATCGGGGCCTTAAACCGTCGTCCTCAGAGCTACTGAGGGCTACTAACGTGACATCAGAAGTTGTGGTTTCACTTTGGCTCAAACTGACACAAAACACCGTCAAATTAGTCAATTATGAGAAAACATTTCCCACAAACAAAAATAACTAGTGACACCTTCAGAGATCACATTGAAATAGATTTAACCCCCAGCTGCAGGAGGGAATATTTAGTTTTTGGTTAACTTGGTTAATAGAGAATCAGCACCAATGTGATTACGATAGTTTCTTTGATCATTCAGCGTACTTTGGCACAGCACACGTGCAGGCCACAGGGATTTCAATAAAAACCTTTTTCACCTCGTATTTGTTTGGGTCATTTGGACACAGAGTTCTTCTCAGGACCGTCAGCGGAGCGAACACAGGCACAGAGTTGTAGCTCATGTCTTCACGCTGGTTGATGATGCAGCCTTCACAGAGACACACGGCAAACAGGATCTCGTGAGGATCCCTGTTTTCCTCTCGGTCCAGTCTGTCAGGAGACAATCAGACAAAACAGACAGCAGCAATCAGAATGAGTTCTGTCTGTGGTTGAAGTGTTCTTATTGTTGATCTACTGTGACCCCAGAAAGAAACGTTTGACACTTTCATTCCTTCGGTCTCCACCCAGTATTCAAAGGAGACCTGGGAGACTTTGGCACTACGGTCATGATGAAACCTGGAAACATCAAGACATTCATAGATGCTCCATAAATTCCAGACACCAACTAATTCAATTTAAAGTGCTTCACAGGCTGAACCACTCCTGTGCTAAATTACGCTACTTTTATGCCTCTGTTTCTCCAATTTGCCCAAAATGTAAATCAGCAGAGGACCATGGGACACCTCCTCTGGTCCGGCCCCAAGCTGAATATTTTTAAATGCTTTTCAGAAACTGTGATATTACACCAGACCCACACACCGACATCTTGGGTGGAACCCGACATCAAGTTGACATCAATACTTAAAATCCTGTGATATAATATACACATTACACATTATTCTGAAACAGACATCAAAGAACTAGCTGCGACGAAGGCCAACTGTTGTGTCGTCTACGTCGCCTCACGTCGCCCTGTGTCAGTTGCATTTGAACACACTACACGGACTACATCCGACAGCCAAGTAGCACGTACGTTCTGCGCCTGCGTGAGAGAGAGCGGAGTGAGAGAGTGGTACATCCTGTCAGCCGAGGGGTTTCCTATCTGTGCAGCCGAGCACCGCAGCACCTCCACGGACTATTACATCCAGACGGTCCCGGTGTTTCCTCCGCAGGCTCCACTTCACTCAGCTGCCCGATAAACCCGCTGCTTCTTCCCACTTTAACCTGAATAACAAACCAGGGCTCGGTGCTCCGGTTGGATCCAAACGGAGAGCCGGGGCTAGCTCAGAGACTAGCGGAGGCTAACTGGCTGTGCTTCCCTCCGGTCATGCTGCGGCTAACGCTCCGCTAGCCGCTCCCAGCTAGCTCCGGTTTGTTATTCAGGTTAAAGTGTGAAGAAGCAGCGGGTCTGTGGGGCAGCTGAGTGAAGTGGAGCCTGAGGAGGAAGCACCGGTTAGCCCCGGTTTCACTACAGGCAGATTCACTCGCTACAGGGGCGAGGAAATAAAATCTGAACAGCCAATCAGAGTGACCTCTCTCACCGTCAAGCTCTGCCGCTGATTCAACATGCTCAATCGGCCAAAAAGCTGCCAACACCAAAGTGCTGATGGTGCAGGACACACCGCAAAAACTAGGGCGACAGACTCTCACCGACGGCCCGACTTTGGTTGACGGCCGACTGTCAGCTTGGTGTGTCAGAGCCTTTATTTTTGGTACCTAAAGTGTATTTTGATGCTGATACATTTGTACTTTTATTAAAGTAAATTTTGATTGTAGGACTTTTTCTTGTAACAGAGTATTTCTACACTGCAGTACTGCTAGTCTTTCTTATACAAAAGGCTGAATAAAGGACATTTACTTGTACTAGTGTTGCTAAAAGTATCGATTATACATCTATAATTGATAATCGACCTAACCAAGAAAAAAAGTTGTTGTCATGTTACAGTTATATTTATCCTTCAATAAAAAATAAAATTAAACCCTCAATGTCATTTTTTCTCTGTGGTATCAACAATTGAATATTGATATTTTTTAAGCTGTTGTATCGAAGTTACAAATTTCAGTATCGTGACAACACTACTTAGAGTATTTCTACACTTCAGCACTGCTAATTTTATTTAAGTAAAATAACTGAGTACTTCTTTCACCACTACAGTATTTGTGAGAGCCATTTGTATTAAATGTGTTTATTTGTATTTTTTGTTACACTCCTGCCACTTGGGGGAGTAGTGGTACTGGCAATTGGGCAGCGCCAGAGTTTATATATTCAAGGTGTAACCACACACAGGTGTTGCTGTGTGGAGTCGAAAAGTTTTTTGACCGTGCTGCATGCACCAGGCGCTGTGGAGACGACAGTCGAGTTATTTTGTTTGCTTATTTTTGGTTTATGAGTGACAAATGGTTGTACCTGAACTGAATGAAAGTAAGTAATAAATCAACATTGGAGCATTGGAAAGATCTTCTGTGATTGCATTGCACGCGTCATAAATTACCTCAAACGACAACCGTGGTGGTGGCCTTTTTTTGGATAGGCGAAGGGTCACTACAGTATTACTACTGTTACTTCTGTAAGTCTGAGTAGTACTTCTTTCCCCATTAAAGTATTGTTACTTTTACTGATGTAAAAAGTCAGAGTACTTCTTCCACTGTCACAGTACTGTTACTTTAACCAGAGGAAATGATCTGTGTACTTCTTCTGCTATTGCAGTATTAGTACTTTTACTTCAGTAAAAAATCGGAGTACTTTTTCTATCACTGTACTATTGCTAACTTCACATATCTGAGTACTTCTTTTGCTACTGCAGTATTACCACTTTTACGTCAGTGAACAGTCTGAGTAGTACTTCTTTCCCCATTAAAGTATTGTTAATTTTACCTTAGTAAAAAGTCTGAGTACTTCTTCAACTACCAGAGTATTGCTAATTTTACTTCAGTACTTTTCCATCACTTTCCTATCCTTCCTTATCTTATCCTTCTCCCAGCACAGCAGTATTGTTACTTGAGTAAAATGTCAGTTTTTGTTGCACCTGTGTAGTTTCAGTGATTTCTGCTCCGTCATGATGTCTGTGAGCGTGTTTGTCCCTCCACGGTGTCCGTAGCTGCATGTAGTCTCTTACCTGTACCTCCACGGGGACAGCGAGCGGTTACTCAGCTCTCCGCGCATGTCCTTGGCCACCTGCGCGCACGTCCGCGTGTCTTGCAGGTTTTTTGGGAGCCACAGTTCGTTCCAGTACTCCCAGTACCTCTGAAGCCTGCTCACCGTCCTGTTCACCTGGCGCAGGTCGATGCACTTGCTGGACCTCCCGTCAGCAGCAGAGGAAGAGGAGGAGGAGGAAGAGGATGAGGATGAAGGGTGGTGGTTGAAGATGAGCAGTGAGCTCACTGAAAGCATCTATAAATATAAAACAAAAAACAGCTTTAAATGTCTGGAGGTTCTGAAATGAAGCGGAAGTGTGTGTGAGCGTCAGTAGTCAGTCTTACGATGTGCAGACTGACGGATCTCTTCATCTTGATCCTGTAGAGTTGTCAATGTGTCCGGCTCCATGTCAAAGCTTTATATACACACTGTGTGCGTACAATAAGGCTGCTGCTGGGTTAATGGGAAAATCCTTCAGTCCGTTTCCTTTAGCTCACAGGAAGAAACCTCAGCACCATGACCCCGCCCCTCTGACCCGGGCGGTGCGTCTAATTACTTCTTAATGACATTTTTATTTCAGTAGAAATGACCTCTTACTACATGCATGACATCACATTTTACACGTGCTGCGTGTGAGCTGCATTTTCTAAATGCTATTAATAACATTCCTCACCTTATCCTCAGCATTTATTAGGCTCAGCTGTTTATACAGCCAAGCACATTCCAAATAATTCACAGGCAAAAAAAAAACATTAACATAAAAAAATTAATTAATTAAAAAAAAAGAAATATTTTAAAAATTAGATTAAATACATACATGTACAAGAAAGTACACTTATATTGCAGCAATAAGTTGCACCATATACAACATAAAAATAAAAGTGCAGTGGGGAACCAGTCATTATTCATCATATTTATTACTAACATTTATTTATTTATTTATTTTACTTCAACAATACTTTGAGAAGTCGATCTCAGTTTGTCTGTCTTAATACTTTTTACACCACCAACACTTTTTGTTTTCAGTAAGAAAAGACTAAAATATTACTTGGACCATGATTATTATTACTAACACCACTACTGCAATAAATAAAATGATAATAATGAGAGGGAAATGTATGACAACGTCGTAGTTATATTGCATATCTCAAGCAAAGGAGTTCAAGTATCTCGGGTCTTGTTCAGGAGAGAGGGTAGAACAGAGTGTGAGATGGATCGGCAGTTTGGTGCGCTGTTGTGGTTCAGAGGGAGCTGAGCTGGAGGGCAAAGCTTTTGATTTCCTGGTCCATCTAGTACATCCCAACCCTCACTTATGGTCATGAGCTCTGGGTAGTGACTGAAAGAATGAGGTCACAGATACAAGCGTCTGAAATGAGTTTCCTCTGTAGGGTGTCTGGGCTCAGCCTTAAGGCCCTGACACACCAAGCTGACGGTCGGCCGTCGACCAAAGTCGGGCCATCGGTGAGCGTCTGTCGCCCTAGTTTTTGCGGTGTGTCCCGCGCTGTCGGCACTTCGGCGGCGCCGGCTTTTTGGCCGATTGAGCATGTTGAATCAGCGGCAGAGCTTGACGGTGAGAGAGATCACTCTGATTGGCTGTTCAGGTTTTATTTCCTCGCCCCTGTAGCGAGTGAATCTGCCTGTAGTGAAACCGGGGCTAACCAGTGCTTCCTCCTCAGGCTCCACTTCACCCAGCTGCCCCACAGACCCGCTGCTTCTTCACACTTTAACCTGAATAACAAACCGGAGCTAGCTGGGAGCGGCTAGCAGAGCGTTAGCCGCAGCATGACCGGAGGGAAGCACAGCCAGTTAGCCTCCGCTAGTCTCTGAGCTAGCCCCGGCTCTCCGTTTGGATCCAACCGGAGCACCGAGCCCTGGTTTGTTATTCAGGTTAAAGTGGGAAGAAGCAGCGGGTTTATCGGGCAGCTGAGTGAAGTGGAGCCTGCGGAGGAAACACCGGGACCGTCTGGATGTAATAGTCCGTGGAGGTGCTGCGGTGCTCGGCTGCACAGATAGGAAACCCCTCGGCTGACAGGATGTACCACTCTCTCACTCCGCTCTCTCTCACGCAGGCGCAGAACGTACGTGCTACTTGGCCGTCGGATGTAGTCCGTGTAGTGTGTTCAAATGCAACTGACACAGGGCGACGTGAGGCGACGTGAGGCGACGTAGACGACGCGACAGTTGGCTTTCGTCTCCGCTAGTTCTTTGATGTCGGTTTGGTGTGTCTGCACCTTTAGAGATAGGGGGAGGAGTCAGACATCCAGAGGGAGCTTGAAGTAGAGCCGCTGCTCCTTCATGTTGAGGTGGTTCAACATCTGGTCAGGATCCTCCTGGGCGCCTCCTGTTAGACCCAGAACACACTGGAGGGATTTTATATGGCCTAGGAACACCTCGGTGTCCCCCAGGAGGAGCTGGAAAGTGTTGCCAGGGAGGGGGATGTCTGGGGTGCTTTGCTCAGCCTGCTGCCCCCGAAACAAGCGGATGAAGATGGATGGATGGGTCTTATTATGACCAGTCAAAACATTTATTCTCACATGGTGTTCCATGTACGTTCGTCCTGCCTGCATCTTACACCCTGCTGTTATGCGTTGGGGAGTTCCAGTTTATAGTAACTTCACTGTTGTTGGTGTGTCAGTGTTTTCTTCCACCGCTGTTGCTGCTGCTGTTGTTTCTGCTGAGTAGGAGTAGTTGAAAATGCTGAATCCCACCCTTTTTCAGTATTTCTCCACTCTGCTCCCCTTCCTCACTAATTTGACATTACATCTGTTTAAAAGTATTTGCAGTTGTTGCCTTGGATTCAGCTGTAATGTCCCTGGAGGTCTAGAGAGGCCAGTTACACAACACCATAAACAAACAAAAAAATACTAATGGTCCCTAAACTTTCCTAACAATAAAGGAAAGTGAAGCAAAAGACAATTTCCTAACCTGAACTTCTACCATCCAAAACAAGAGAAAAGAACATGGCAATGCCAAATGAAAAAGGGCTTCTCACTCCTACTAAAACTGCTTTAAGTGCCTATTTACAAAAATGATACAAGAAAAACCTACTAATTATCCTAAACATAAAGCTGTTAAACAAAGCTCTGCTCACCTACTCAACAACAATCACATCCATTCTCCTAACAGGGTTATCAAAATACACACACTACTTTGCAAGGCTGACGAGTTTTGCCAGCAGGTGCTCACACAAAATAGCACAAACACAATCTAAGAGCTGCTGTCAGCTGAAAGTTTGAAAACCCTCGGACTCAAAGTGGGCCAATCTGGTGTCAGCAATCTTCTTCAGCCAGCCCAATCAGCACTCACCACCTGCTTTGCAACAAGCAATCACACTTCACCACATGCACACACTCTAAGAGGAGGTGAGAGAACATCTTAAAGGTCACTGCAGATCAACACAAGGAAAATACTCAAAAAAATAACGACCTGGGTCATAACACCTCCCCACCTGAAAATCAAACATTTACCCCTCGAAAAAAATGTTTGATTCACTACCTTCACGACGAGCATTAGCCATGACATGATCAAGACCCTTCTTATAACGTATATCAATGTTAAAGTCTTGCAGCAACAAAGACCAGCACATGAGACGTTGGTTGCGATTATGCATCTGAGTATCTGAGTCAAGAACACGAGAGGATTGTGATCAGAGAAGACGATGGTTGGCACAGGGCTGGACCCATGATACACATCAAAATGTTGTAGCGTCAAAAGCAAGGCCAAATGTAGTAAAAACTTGACAAGTGCTTTTATGATGGCACAGGCTTTTATGAGCGCAACGGTACGGCCTCAGGATAACGTTTTGCAGCACACATCATGGTGAGGACGTACTGGTTACCGGACTTTGTTTTGGCTAACAGACCAACACAGTCAACAATAACATGTTCAGGTGGTTCCCCGACAAAAGGAATGGGCTTCAATGGAGCAGCAATGGCTGGTATGATACCAACAACAATACTTTAACAACATCGGATTTCAATCCAGGCCAGAAAAAATAACGAAGGACACGATTGTATGCTTTTCTGATTCCCAAATGGCCGGACATGCTATGGGCATGAGCTAAGCTCAGGACCTGGAGACAAAAAGGCAGAGGCACAACAATATGGCACACGGACTGGCACATAAAACCGGAGCTTGGGGACCAGCAGCGCATCAGAACATCGTCATCAAAAGAGTAAGACACAGACTTCTCACTTGTCAAGTTTTCCACAAAAGACAAGCAAGACAACAAAGTAACATCACTTCGCTGGGCTTTAACCAGCTGCTCTCCATCGACTGACAGTGTCAGGTTTTGTCATCAGGCTGAAGCTCAGTGGAGACGTGCAGTTCATTTACACTCAGAGGGTGAGCTTGTTGGATCAGAGGTACTCATAAAAGAATCACTTAGATCAATCAAGTCTCCAAGTTTTGGTGCCTGGGCACGAGTTATGGCACACACAGGAAACAGGGGGTCTGAGTTTAGTGCAGCAGAGTCAGAAACACACACCTCCGCGGTCAGGTTTTCAATTACCTGGGGCGACGGGAAAACTTTTCCGCGGACTACGTCATTTCCAAGGGTGAAATCAATACCGGCAACTGGTAACTTAGGACACACAACAATTTGGAATTTACCCAATGTAGTATCTGACGTGCCACATGTTATGTGATGACCGGGGTCTTATATGATCAGTTAGGGGCCCAGGGTCAAGATTTTATTATGGCTCAGGTCAAGGATAGATAAGTAAGATGAAAGGTTGGATTCCAGCTCTCTGTCACTTGTCACATTTTGTCTCAAAGTTCATCAAAACAACCGACCTATATCTGCAGGGTAAATTGAGCCGTTATTCAGAGCAGTTCATATTGGCTTCAAACTCTCTCTCTCAGGCATTCTAGATGCTTGATAGATGCTGTACTTCTTGTAATAAACCTTTCTTTATGCAAGCAAGATGGTGTCATCGGAGACTTCTTCATCACCTTCACATCATCGCTATTTAAGAAACAACACCAACACAAGTTTGGATGACAGCTGAATGAAATGCAAAGGTACGCGTATTATGCTCATACCGACACCCCAAGCTAGAACATCTGCACCACAGTAAGACTGAGCCGAAACAGGTAACACACCACCAAGAGGAATGGATTGTTTTGCACCCGTATCCCTCAGAATGGTGATGGGGATACACTTTTCCTCACCCACCACTGAAACGTAACCTCCAGTTACAAATGGTTTGAAATCCTGATTGATTTCATCTTTTTCTGTTTCTGACAATGTCACGTTTTGCATGGAGGGGGGTTTGGCTTGAATCTGTCCAGTTGGACTGGTCCAATTGTTGTTTCTGATTTGCCCTTTTCTTTTTAGAGTGGGGCAGACAGCGATGAGGTGTCCCTGCTCATGGCAGGAAATTACAATATCCTGCTGACTTTGACCCAGAGCAGCTGACACAGTGTGATGACACGGTCTGTCTGTGATGAAATATCTGAAGTATCCCCTCCTCCTCTGAACCTGGTGGATATAAATGTCCTGCAGCCTGTATTTAGAAACACAGCA